TATATATATATATATATATTTGTATTTCATTACCTTATTTGCTACCTTATTCATAAAATTTTCTTTCCATATTGCATCTAATGTTATTAATCACGCTTAAAAATATGAAAGGAGATATTTGCATGTGATTTTTGGAGAGAAAGAAACCTTATTTATTTGGATTTTGAATTTTCATCTAAGTTGAACCTTAAAAATATTTATGCTTAAAATTTTCTTTCCATATTGCATCTAGTGTTACTAGTTTTAGTAAGTTTATGATTAATGTGTAGAAGTTACTAAGTTGGAATCTAAGTTGGGACATTTATATAAGATTCCCTTTAAAATATTGTGCAAATATAATCCTTGGAAAATTATCCTTTAGAGTCCGTCTAATCTTTGCTCATACAACTTGCAAAATATTAAACTATGGTCTAAATTTGCAATAACTTAAAACAAAAATTAACTTCTTGTCTAAATGTTTTCTAGTAAGATTTGCAATTTACTCAAAAAGATCTTTTATTAACTGTGATCTAAAAGGTCCACCAGTGCAAGAAAAATAAAACAGAAGCCATTTACTAAACAACTGTACAGAAAGGGACACGGTGAAAATTTTGCGTTTGATTAATCTAGAAGTCCATTCATTAATTTTGCTTTGTTATGGATAGGCCTAGGCCCTACGGTGATAGTATGTAAAAATTGTACGGGACGTCCTATTTGGTCGCCCCCATTTAATCTATACCCATTTTTTTTAAAGTTTTAATTTGTACTCACTTTTTAATTAACTTCAGCCCCTTTCTCCTCATACTTCTCCTCCTTTATTTTCTGCCCTTTTCTTTGTAAACTTTATATAAAACCAACTACAATTAACAAATTATGAATTGACGAGTGAAACATAAGACAAATAGTAATATGCTATTACACTGAAAATATAAAAATATTTATATGATAAATGTAATATAATGTAATTCCTTAAACAGAAGACAAGTTGCTATTTGATTCGACAACCGCCGTGCACGGTGGAAGACAAAACAATTGGAGAGAGACTACAATGTTCTTGAAGCCAGTTTTGATTCTCTCAAACATAACTATGAAAATATAAAAATATTTATATGCTAGTTTTTGAAAAAGCTTTATGACAAAACAAATGAATCCAGGACAAAAAAATTTTAACTTATTTAGTGCTAGAATTTTTACAAATGAACTAAATAATTTCAGCATTTTCTACTGAAGTTTTTGAAAAAGCTTATCCACTGAAGTTTTTATAAATGAATTAAATAACTTCAGCATCTTCTGCTGAAATTTTTGAAAAAGCTTAATGGTAAAACTAATGAATCCAGGACAAAAAAAATCAGCTTATTTACTGCAATTACAAACAAAAACTTTAGCAAATAGAGAACAAAACTTCAGCTACTATGCTTAAGTTCAACAATTACAAACAAAAACTTCAGCAAATAGAGAACAAAACTTCAGCTACTATGCTTAAGTTTAACAATTACAAACAAAAACTTTAGCACACTTGCTGCTTCAGACCCGTCTACTAAAATGCTGAAGTTTTGCATGATTGTCTTTGCTACTTCAGCCCCGTATGCTGATGTTACGCAATAAAGTGGATACGCTTACAATTTTTTTTTGCAAAACGGACACAAGTTAAAACGTAACCCAAAAAAACGGGTATAAATGCAAATGCCCCAAATAGTAGTGCTAGATAATGGTCCTAAGACATATTGTGATAGATACTAATTTAGTTATTATCTCTAATTTAAGATTCATAAAAAATGATAACCGTTAATTTAGATACTATTGATGCCTCCAGTATGAACTGTGAAACATAAAAGTGTAGCTAGTCTTCAACTGGTAGAATGAATAGTATGTGCATTTAAGAGTTAAAATAAAATAGCTTAGTACAAATCAACTCTTCTGCTAGTCGCTCGATAAGATAAACTTGGATTATATTGTTAGTTTAAATCAATTCCTAAGAGGGTTTTGCATAATAGATATATAAACAATATGCTAAGATACGCTTTAAATTCTTTTCTACTGTTTCCACTCTGTTTTTGCATTTTATTTTCAAGAAAATTTTACCTCCTATAGCAAAGCTTTATACCTTATTTATTATAAATAAATATTCTTTTAAAATATTATTTTCTATAGCTACCTTTTAAATTTTATAGCAAAATATGTATTTATGGTCACTTCCTACTGTTTAGCCATTAAATACGCTGGGTAATATTATTCTCTCTCCTACTTTCTATATACAAATTAACTAGAGCTGTCAATATTGTCCAAGTCGAGCTAGTTGTGATGACCTTTACTTGATTTAAAAGTTAGTTCTGTGTTCGAGGCCTTAAAAATCTCCTTTTATCTCCCTCGATTTATGTGCGCGGTCCGGGCGTATATCCGGAACGCTTTTATGTGAAAATTTGATAAAAATGCTAATTTTACCTTTAAAATTGAATTTAAGTTGACTTCGATCAATATTTTGGGTAAACGGACCCAGACCCCTGATTTGACGGTCCTGGAGGGTCCGTAGAAAATTTGGGACTTAGGTGTATGCCAGAAATTGAATTCCGAGGTCTCAAGCCCGAGAAATGAATTTTTGAAGAAAAATTGTTTAATTGAAATTATAAGAGTTTTTGAAAATTTAAATATGTTTGAATTTGATGGTATCGAGCCCGTATTTTGTTTCCGTAGACGGGTACAGGTCTTATATGGTATTTAACTTGTGCCTGTCAAATTTGGTAAGAAATGGAATTCATATGACGTGAATCGGACCCTCGGTTGTGAAATTTGAAACTTAAGAGTTCTTGATATTTTTCTTTGATTTTGATGTTAAACTTGTAGTTCTAGGTGTTATTTTGGCCATTTGATCGCACGAGTAAGTCAATATGATATTTTTAGATTAGTATGCATGTTTGGTTTTGAGCCTCGAGGGCTCGGGTGAGTTTCGGATAGGCTTCGGGGTGATTTACACTTAGGAAAATTTGGTATGATTGCTGCTTCTGGTGTCTGATGCACCGTGCATCGCGATCGCGTAGTAACTCTCGCGATCGTGGAAGGGAACTGGGTTGGGGATGGATTTGCTCTATGCGAACGCAAAGACAGGGTCGTGAACGCGGAGCACTAGGGGCTGTTCTACGCGAACGCGACCTATATCCCGCAAGCGCGTATAGTAAATAGGGGTGGGCTGGGGATTCATCATTTCTTCTACGCAAACACGTACCTTGGTCTGCGAACGCGAAGGTCATGGGGGCTTACCCTTCGCGAACACGTAGAAGAACTCGCGATCACGTAAGCCTGAGGAAGGCGGTCCTTCGCGAACGCGGCAGGCCCTTCGCAAACGCGAAGAAGGCCTGCCCAGTCTTCTTAAAACAGTAGCAAAATCGGGAATTAGCCCACATTTTCATATTTTCAAAGCTAGAGAGCATTGAGGCGATTTTCAAGAAGCAAGTTCTTCCCCAAAATATTGGTATATGATTCTAAACCTTTTTCTTTCGATTTCCCTTTACATTTCATCAATCTTCATCTAAAAAAACTAGGGTTTTATGGTAGAAATTGGGAATTTGGATAAAGTTAGGGCTTTTTGAATAATTGGAATTTAGACCTCATTTTGGGGTCGGATTTCGAAACTGATTGTATATTCGGGCTCGTGGATGAATGGGTGATCGATTTTTGGTCCGAACCTCGAGTTTTGACCAAGCGGGCTCGGGGTCGATTTTTGACTTTTTGGAAAAAATGATAGAAAACCTATAATTAAGCATTGGAGTCGAATTCTTTACCATTTATTGATGTTGTTAAATTAATTTGGGTTAGATACAAGTAAATTGGAGGCTAATTCTAAAGGGAAAGCGGTGTTTGAGGTTTTAGTTTTGCGTAGAAGTTCGAGGTAAGTGTTTGGTCTAACCTTAGCTTGAGGGAATAGGTGTTGTGCCTTATTTGCTATGTGTTAGTGTAGTGTACGGAGTATAGGTGTGGTGACTAGTATCTATACGTTGGTGTCAAGCATGCCCATGAGTCTTAAATTGTGATCGTTGTGTTTCTTAATGAGTATTACAAATGCC